TTCTATCCCAGGAGCAGAGCTTTGTATTTGCCTTTGTTGAACTTTACAACGTTGAACTGCCGTCCTGTTTCTGCAGCCTGTCAAGGTCCCTCTGAACAGCCGTGCTCCCCTGACTCTGACGTAGGCTCAGGGACCTGGGAGGCCAGGACTTAAGTCCTGAGGACAGGACTTACCAGGAGAAACGGAGGCAAAGACAACAAAGGCCTCGGCCTTTTCCATAGCTTTTGACATGAGCGGCAGAACCAGACCCAGACCTGGGTTTTCCTTAGTCTTCCTTCTGCTGCTGATCCACTTGCAGAAGGCTTTCTTGTTGCCCGTCACACCCATTGCTAGGTTCAATTACAGCTGAGCTTTGACTTTTCCTAATTTCATGCTTGCATGCTCGGTCACCGTTGTGGTGTTCCTGCTGGGCAGACCATCCCTGCTTACACCTCCGTGCACTCCCTCTTTGCATTTGAGGCCAGTCAGGAATTCCCTGCTTAACCCCACTGGCCTCCTGCCAGGCCTGCTCAACTTTGTCCACATTGGTCTGATCATTCCCCTTTGCTTTGAAGAGGTTGTCCTTGAAGTTCAGCCAGCTTCCCTGAGCCCCTTTGTCCTCCAGGGATCCCCATTGTCCCATAGGATCCTTCCAGGCAGATCCGTGAACAAACCAAAACCTGCTCTCCTGAAGTCCAGGTCTTGCTCGCTTCTTTCAGGATCGCAAACTCTGCCATCTCATGGTTGCTGCAGCCAGGGCTGCCCTCAACCTTCACATCCCCAACCAGTTCTTCCTTCTTTGTGAGTAACAGGTCCAGCAGAGCACCTCCCCTTGTTGGCTTGCTGATCACCTGTGTCAAGAGGCTGTCATCAATCCAATCCAGGAATCTCCTGTAGTGCTTGTGCCCAGTGCTCCTGCCCTCAAAGCAGATGTCAGGGTGGTTAAAGTTCCCCCATGAGTATGAGGACCTGCAACCATGGGGCTTCCTCCAGATGTCTAAAAAATGCTTTGTCTCCTTCTTGATCCGGTGGTTTGTAGTGATGCGCCTCGCAGTCTCATCTGTTCCAGTGCAACTCTCAGCATTCGGATGAAGCCTTCCCTAGTGTGCAGCCTGTTGTCATTGCCTTCAAAGCTGTCATACTGTGTCAGTCATAGAAGCTGTCCTATGATGTTTTTCGTATTCCAGAGATTGCAGTGTTGCAGCTGTTCACTGGTTTCTGATTCTGTCTATTTCACAAGCCTTGCATATTTGTTTACAGGCATGTGTGGTGGGGTCCCGGCATTGTACTGCTTTTACAAGGAAATTTCAAGAGCCTCTCCCATCATGCTATTCCCTGCACACTGTCCTCACTGCCCCCACTCTTACAATTTTTCCATTCTTTGTCACCATCGATTAAAAAATCTGTGGAAATCAAGGATAAAGGTGCATAATTTAATAATAATCTGTTCTTACTAATTTTTAAAATTTTGAAACATTTGAATTTTCACAATAGGAAAAAAAAGAACCCTAGCCTCTAGAAAGACACTATCTTATTAATGTTAATAATAATCTATTCCAGTTATCCATATAATTCTAAGATAAGGTTTAATATACATGCTTCAAAATCTCAGATGATGAGATGCTGCTGCTAGGTGCTTTTTGTAGTTTCTTGAAATGGATAAAGGCCAGAATGGAGAATTCAGGTCTTGAAATACTCTTTACACATTTACAGTTAGAATTTTTGTAGAAGAAGAGAGGAGACTTGCAGGAAACTATAAACTTTTCAGTTAGGGCAAACCATGCAAGAAGAAGAAGGAATTAGGCAGGCTGCACAGATCCTTATCACATAAACACGAAGATAACGTGTTCAGTTACCTATGAAGAAAACTGAAAAATGAATTATGTACTACTGGCTGGAGAGCAAGAGAACCTTGGAGTGTAAGAGTATCTTTATCTTTTTGAGCTAAGATGTACCAGAAACAAAGAAAATTCTTCATTGTGATGTGATACTGCTGGGACTCCCCTTTAATTTTCCTCTCACTCTTGAGGGGAAATTGGGAAAAAGTATGAAATTGGAACGTTGTCATGCCTCCAAAAGATTATTCCAATAGTAGGGTGAGAAAGCAAAAGACTGCAAGAGAAGCCAAAACTGGCCTGAGTGGACCTTTGATCACAGAATCATAGAATAGTTTGGGTTGGAAGGGACCTCTAAAGATCATCTAGACCAACCCCCCTGCCGTGGGCAGGGACATCTTCAGCTAGATCAGGTTGCTCAGAGCCTCGTCCAACCTGACCTGGAATGTTTCCAGGGACGGGGCATCCACCACCTCTCTGGGCAACCTGTTCCAGTGTTTCACTACCCTCAGCGTAAAAAATTTCCTTATATCTAGTCTAAATCTACCCCCCTTTAGTTTAAAGCCATTCCCCCTTGTCCTGTCGCAACAGGCCCTACTAAAAAGTTTGCTGCCATCTTTTTTATACACTCCCTTTAAGTACTGATAGACTGCAATAAGGTCTTCCCAAAGCCTTCTCTTCTCTAGGCTGAACAACCCCAACTCTCTCAGCCTTTCTTCATAGGAGAGGTGTTCCATCCCCCTGATCATTTTCGTGGCCCTCTTCTGGACCCGCTCCAACAGGACCGTTTCTTTCTTATGCTGAGGGCTCCAGAGCTGGACACAGCACTCCAGGTGGGGTCTCACCAGAGCAGAGTAGAGGGGCAGAATCCCCTCCCTCGACCTGCTCAGTATCCTGTCTTCACTGTGACCATAGCACATACCTAGAGAAGAGTACAAACACAGGCAAGTACAATTCTTCTCCCAAATACTCTCTCAACTTGCAGCCATTTGCTGTTCAAAGAATTATATGCAGTATTATCTTTGTTGGCTGATTTTAAAGTGTTTATGCTTTCTTAACGTCTTATAATGTTTAACATCCAGTTTGGTCATTGGAATGGAATAGGAAATACCTTTTCACTTCCATGTGGTAAGAGATGTAAAAGTGTGGAATAGAAATGTTTATTGAAGATTACTGCTGTTTCTACAAACTTACTAGAAATGTCATTAGATCCTGGGTCCAGTACCCTGCGAACCAGCTGGAAAGGTTGTATTACAGCTGTAGTATATGCTTTATCTTGAGGCCTGTGTAGGCCAGCTCCCTGCTTCATCATGTGCCTAGGAGTTCATGAACCATGCTGAAAATTGGAGTTAAAAGACTGAAGCTATGTTCTGGGACCAGAATTTTCAATTGACTGCAGTACAGCATGATTAGTTTCCTCTGTGTGGAAGGAACTGAGGAATCTTTTCTTCTGTGCGGGACAGGATAAAAGCATTGGGATATTTTGTTGGGTCCAAAGATTTGTATTCACTGTGGGGAGGAAGTATTGCCTAGTTGTCTTTATTCTGCAAGCTGTCTGGCAACTCCTTGATGTTTCCAGGGCAATGCTTGGTCTTTGTGTTTCGCTCTTAAAAATGTTAATGTTCTTTTAGTATTCTGCTGATTAAGACTTTGTGAAAGAATACAAGCAGTTAAAAATATAGTGGTTCAGCTAAAGCTGAACAGAATTTTTGGCTCCATGGTTTCTGCTTCTCCAAAGTGTTAGTCCTGCTCTAAATAGAGCAGGTGTTCTAGCATCTCAAAACAAATAAATAAGGTTGAAAGAGACATTTATTTGATAGTCTTGATCAGTCTAAATACAGAAGGGAGGAATTGTTCCTCTTCAGGCTGGAAAAGAAAAATATTAAGAAAGGGATGACAAAAATCTGTAAAATGTATGAGCAGTATGGAGAAGGTGCATGGGGAATGCCTGCCCACTGCTGCTCCAGCTATGCAAGAAGATGGCATCAAATGAAGCTAACAGATGGCAGGTTCAAAATGAGCAGGAGGAGGTACTTCTTCACACATTGCCTATTGAGGTTCTGGAACACCATGCCTCAGGCTGTTGCAGGTACTAAAGGCCAACAACTTTCAAATACTGTCAGAGACACAATACTAGGATAGACAGACTGTTAGGATGACCTCGTGTAATAGTTGTTATGTCCTTGCAAAACACACGGAACAGGTGTATGCCTGGTGTCTCTCACATAGGTATTTGTGTCTTATACTAAATTAAAACTGTAGACTTCTGATTCTAAAGCAAAACAGGAATACCAACTAGCTTTTAATTCCTATAGAACAGAAGTATTCTAACAGTTAAATATAGGTGAAAGCTAGAGTGACTATCGTAGAAATAGACAAGGCAGTCCAGTAGATTTATTATAATTACTTACAGTTCCTTTCTTTTATGGTTTGCCTGCATGAGTTATTCCCAATTAAGAACCGACTTTTTCATGTAAAGGTATACTTGCCCATTTCTAAGCTCAGATCGTTAGGTCTTCCTCCTAACCTACTTCATATCACCTGCTCTTCTAACTTCTCTGGAAAAGGGAGAATAAAAAGGGGGTTTGTTAATAGAACTAATGTAGTTTAGCTAATGTATTAAAATACCAATAAAAGTTGGCAAGATGGTAAGTGACACCTCATAGCTGGTCATGTTGAAACTTTGATGTGAAGATCAATTTCACCTCAGCCAAGAAGATGTGTTGACAAATCTTGACTTCCTAAATGGCATGTTTTACTTACAATGGGTAACACTTGTTTTTAAAAAATCACCATGAACATGCACCCTTTATTTTTAGTCTAGAGAGACCCAGCACTTTTTTAGTTCAAACAGGACAAATTTACCATACTTTGCATTGCTGAGAGCAGTGGCTCCCAGGCTGCTTGTAGCTAAGCCTCACTTGAAAAAAAGCAGCCATGATTCAGGCCTTGTGGATCCAGCTGGGGTCTTCCAGAGTTCATTAGCTTTAGTTCTGTTCTCCAGCTTTTCAGTCATATGCTTGTACCATGCCACTGAGACCTGCCTCGCTAATTGGGAACTACTGTCTCAGGGATAACTCCTTCTGAGCACGTCTGTCTAAGGGCTAGGAAGGTGTCAGTATCACTGCTCTGGAACATACTAGGTTCTTGCTTCCAGTGCTTGGATATTCCTTGCTTCCTTCTCAGATCCGGGAGCTGGTTCCTGAGTCCCAGGCCTACATGGATCTGTTGGCCTTTGAACGCAAACTAGACCAGACCATTATGCGGAAGCGTGTGGATATTCAGGAAGCGCTGAAGAGGCCAATGAAGGTATGTAATGAAAAATTTGTAGATTGAGTTAGGGGGAAAAAAATAATCCTTGTGTTAAATGGTGGAATGATCTTTCCAGTAAAAGTCCTGTTAACAGAGATATTTTGAAACAGGTCAGACACAGCTCCTAAGAGTAAGCAGCTGGGGAGCAGCATGCGTGGAAAAATAGTGGAGAAAATTCTGTGGATATTACCAGCTCTAGCTTCTGAAAGCCTTTAATAAGGGGAATAATAGCTTCTGGATAAATAAACACTGTTTTTGGAACTTTGTATTAGAATGATTAAAAAGAAGAAAGTAAGAGATTAGAGGGGTGTGCTGAAGAGATGTATTAAATTTCTTATTAGAATTCAGGCAAAAGCTAAACTTGTGGAATAACAGAACATATAATGGGAAGAATTACTTACAGAAAAATTGTTAAAGATCCTGCAAAAATGTACACATTTACATAGTCTGTAAAAGGATGATTCATGTAAGAAAAGAATGGATGACATTTTATGTGATTCCTATTAGATCAAGTCCAGCATTTCACTGTTCATAGTATCCTACTGAAATGGTCTTTTCCTAAGTTTTCTGAGTCTATTCAACTGAATCATGGAAAAGTTTAGGTAGGAGGAAACTGTGGAAGTCATCTCGTTCAACCTCCTGCTCAAAACAGGGTTGTCAAGGCCTTGTTGAATTTTTAAAATCTCTAAGGATGGAGGTTTCACAGACTCTTCAGGCAATCTGTTCCAATGTTTGGCCACTCTCATTGTGACGACTTTCTTTTCATGTCTTATTTAAGTTCTTGTGACTTTATTGAATGCTCATACTCATTCATACAGTAAATCCTGTAGTATGAAGAGTTTTGTAGCTGTATGTCTACTGTGAAGTAAAGCTGACATTCTTGTCTGTTCCACAGTGATGGGTATCAGCCCAACTAAGATCAAGATTCCATTCTGTTTGTCACTGTGCAGGTATCTGATAAGATGTGGAAGGCTTTTACCTCCGACGTTTTTCCAATTGATATATATGAAACAGAAAAAAAAAAGGAAAAAATTAAGTTCTGTTAACATACCTATTTTACAGATAAGAAACCAAAGTGTGGATGGCTTAAATCACAAGTTTGTAGTCAAAAAGTGTTGTATATAGTAGATTGGACTCTCAGAAGGAATAGTTTGTCTTAGCTTCTTAATGTGGGTAGCACACCATTATTTTAAACCCGCTAGGAACTTGGCCATGTTTAAAAGTAATTGAAGACTTAGACTTGCATTCATAAATCTGCAGGAGGATGTTTATTCTGTGGCAAACTCTTTAACTAGGGAATTACCCAGTATATAACCAGTACATGAGGTTCCAGCTCTAAGCTGTACAATGGAGCTATTCAGGGCCTGTAATGGGGAAGAGTATAGGAGGCACTCTACAGAACTGTAGACAGAAAATTCTGTTTCTGTCTAGGGCTCAGCAAACACATTTTAAATATCAGTTATTCAGCTAGTTAACATCTAAAGAATGATCAAACAGATGTTTTTCAAATTCATGTCTAGACTTTGCATGTAGCAGCTGTGAAATTCAAGACCTGTCAAAATAGAGCTAAGCCTAGATAAATTTGGGTTGTTCTGATGATAAGTATTTTCATTTTATTATAGTTGGAGCATTGGTAACAGCAATAAAAGTTATCTCTGCATTTCCATCTCTTATCAAAGCTCTTGTAATTTTGAAATATTTGCCTTAAAACAATGGTTCCCAAACTGGGATTGTAATCCTGGGAAAAATTTAAATTTGTCTGAGGTATGTGATAATATGTAGGGAATATGCAAGACTGCTCAGAATGATCAGTTGTAATTGCAGTTATCATATTCGTCACAGTGATTGAGTTGTACTTAGAAACAGTCTTTGGGAACCACAGGTTTATGGTCTAGTGTTGCTCAGGCTGTTTTTTTCTGTCTGAAGGCTAATTATTTTGGAGAAATTTTAGGGGGAAATGTTTCGAACACTTTTGATTGAGGACAGTGCACAAATATGCTGGGCCTGTTGATCCTACTTGGATCTTCTGTGAACAGCTGCACTGTTGAAACAGATGACAGCTGCGGGATTGCTCAGAAAGCAAGGAGACCTTGGGGTTGTGAGTTGGTTGAAAGGGGGGAAACGGCCTTCACCACCTGCCAGCTCACTTTACCACTGTCAGCAACCCCTCTCAGCTGCCAGCTTTTCCAGTCTAGATCCTGCCTTGTCTTTTTTCTGCCTATTGGGTACTAGTGTGTTCTCTCCTCTTCTTCTGTCAGTCCTACGTTCTTGGACTACATCTGTCACAAGAGTCTCAGAATTCCTCATTCTCAGAGCAGCATTTGCTGCATGCCACCCATCGCAAGAGTCCTTGCCCTGACTTTATAGAAGACCCACCCGTTCACGCGCTCAGAATTCCAGAAGGGACTTTTTAGGAGGGAGTCAGGCAGACAGGGCTGCTTGACTGCAGTGTGGCTAGAGGTATAGATATAGCAAGCTCCATGGCCTGAAGGAAACAGAAACCGTATGGCTCAACTCCGGATGAGTAGATGTCATTAAAGAAGAATGCATTACTGAAAATCTGGACAGCTAGGTCCATGGTGGGCTTTGGGAGTGGGATTTATTTGGCTAAGTATAGACATCTACATTGTATTTATTTATATGTAAGCTAGTCACTCTGGGCTCCCTTTATAGTCAAGAGAGTCAGTGTAGGCAATGAAGTTCAGGGCACAGTTCTTCTCATACAGAAGTAGATATTTAAAAGAATATAGATAAATCATGCCCTAAAAAGTGCCTATTTCTCTCCATTGTCTAAGCCTGAGATAACTAGTCATTGTGGACGTAAACATAATTTTAAAGACTGAGGTGATTTTCATCCCAAGGCTTGACTCAGGGGTCACGTGTCTGAAAGAAGGGCATCTAGTGACCCATCCAACAACCAAGGCTCCTACTCCAAGCCCTGGCACCACAGACTATAATTTGGTCTCACCCAAGCCAGAGACTGTTGTCCAGGGACTGTCACTCTTTCACAGTGAACTGGTGTGGGACATTGAGTTTACCTGACCCATGTGTAGTTGCAGTTCCTCAAACGAAACGATCTACTCCCAGGTTATCCATTTTTAGATTAAAAAGAGACCTAAAAAAGGTAGTGGTGTCTAAAAAGAGTAGTGGTGTCTGAATACAGTCACAATGTCTTTCTCCCTGGTTTTGTAAATTGATATTCTTTCCCTGCTGTCGTGGTTTAACCCCAGCCGGCAACTAAGCACCACAGACCAACCATACATCATATGGTATGGAATATACCTTTGGTCAGCTGGGGTCAGCTGTCCCGGCTGTGTCCCCTCCCAGCTTCTTGTGCACCCCCAGCCTACTTGCTGGTGGGGTGGTGTGAGAAGCAGAAAAGGCCTTGACTGGGGTAGAGTTAATTTTCTTCCTAGTAGCTGGTATAGTGCTGTGATCTGGATTCACGATGGGAATAACATTGATAACACACTGATGTTTTAGTTGGTAGAATGTGCTGGTTTTGGCTGGGATAGAGTTAATTTTCTTTATAGTAGCTAGTATGGGGCTGTGTTTTGGATTTGTGCTGAAAACAGTGTTGATAATACAGGGATGTTTTCGTTATTGCTGAGCGGTGCTTACACAGAGTCAAGGCCTTTTCTGCTTCCCACACCACCCCACCAGCGAGTAGGCTGGGGGTGCACAAGAAGTTGGGAGGGGACACGGCCGGGACAGCTGACCC